GGCGAACCCACATGGCTCGGGGTTCGTAGTGACGCCACTCACCAAGCACCTACCAAAGTAGGTGCCCCCTGCGTGCGGGTATGGTGGCCCACGTGGCTGGGGTCCGTGGTGACGCTACTCACCAAGCACCTAGCACCTAAGGTGCAGGCGCCCCCTGCGGGGCTCGGGGTCCGTGGAGACGCCACTCTCCAAACACCTGCTTTCACAGGTGCCCCCTGCGGGGTGTTGATTGGGGAGAAACTCTGGTGGTGCTGATGATACTGATTTTATTGTTCATAGGTAGTACTGATGGTGCTGATTTTCTTTTTTTTATTGCTCATAGGTAGTGCTGAGTTCCGGGTTGCGTTTCGACTTCATTATTACTGCTTTATGGTCGGTGAAATGCAGAGCCAGTGGTTCTTCTAGCGGATCAGCTTGGATCCGCTAGAAGCCGTGGGAACGCATCTCCACCGCTTAAAGGGACACTGACAGGGTATTTATGCTCGCCGAGGTTTTTAGTTGTACGTGACATATGAGAGCTCAACTACCCAGAACAGAATTTGCGGTTCGAAATTCGGTTTCTTTCCGCCCGAAAACCACCGATCAAGAACTGGCCAATTCGAGTCTCGCTCACTCTCTTTTTCGCGGTCACGGGCCGTTTTCTAAGGTATCGACGCGACCACCAAATTTAATCAAAGTCGTTGGTCACTGAAGGCACACACTCAGTATTAAAAATAGAAAAAAATATGAAACCCATTTTTTGTGGCTTCTAAAAAGCTGTAAATACGTTGATTGAAAAAAAAGTTCCACAGACAACCGGAAGCATTCTGTGCGTTCGTCGTTTCGCGTATCGTTGGACTCGCGGGGACGGCGATGGTAGCGGACGACGGGCGTGGGACCTCTATTTTAGAACTGTCGTTCGCGGTACCGGCGAATTCTGTCTACCGTTAAAAGAGAAATTTGGGGCTGATCAAAAGAATTGGTATTCATCCCGTACGACACGCCCGGCCACCAAGCCGATTTCTACGAAGACGTCGCCGAGCCGTCGCTCCCTTCTCGTGGCTGAAGACATTGCTCGCGCAAACGTCAAGTACGACGTGTCTACTTCGAGTTGAATATGCACGGGTATGATTTCTTTACTAGGTGCGAATGTCCCCAAGGCATGGTGCTTCCCGACTTCGACGCGGGAGTGCTTTTGCTAGAGAAAAATCGGCAGCAAACTTTCCAACTTACAGTTTACCGGCTGAATTATTACTAAGGAAAGAGATCCACCGGAGAAGAGATGCCCCAGTAGCTTAGTGGAAAAGACGTCCGGTTCACACGCGGTAGAACCGGGTTCGATCCCCTGTGAAACTTTATTTTATTATTTTTTTTCAAACATTTTCCGATGTTTACATATCGTTTTCTTTTTTTACCAATCATCACTGAAGAAACAAAAAAAAAAATAACAAACAAATGTTGTGGACGATACTTCGCTGAATTAAATGGTATGGGATTTCCGTTTTGACACCTGCGAACTCAATGCAATCACTTTCCACAAAATGCAAGGAGCATATAAATCAGGTAGCGTCCGCTTTCCGAGGTGCCCGTATATGTTCAACAGGAATTGCAGCCAGCCATCGGTCCCGATCCCGTTGATCTTTCGGAAACTCTGTCGCACAATGCCACTTTTTTTCGGATGCAGGACATGTGAGCCAGCTCTTCACGCAACATCTTGGGTGTATTCTTTTCGGAGCCGATCATGGAAATTCACCACGGGCACTCACTACTCATCTCCAACTCCTCAATGTACAAAACGACTCATCTTGGAGTACAGAACAACGAGCGGAACAAACATAACTGCAAAAAAATCGCACGACGAGCAGTTCCCGCACGCCGCATCGCACGCCGCATGTCGTTTCGTCTGCTACGGAGAGGAGAAAAAAAAAAAAAACGCACGGTCGGGTGTAGCCACGTGACTTCCGCCACTCGCACCTCTTCTCTCCACTTCTCCGACCTCCGTCGGGTTTCGGTTTCGAGCAGTTGCGTCTTTTGGCTTTATTAAAAAAATACGCTACTCTGTTGCAAAATATTAATTGGGTAGTCCTCCGACACCATAATGAAGCGCCTGGCAAAAAATTAAAAAAAAAATTTGGGGGGTGTCAGTGTCCCTTTAAGTCAACGGTCCATGTCAGAAAGAGAATGTGTGGTATGGATCGTGGTTATATACGCAGTTGAGCATTTGATCGCAGTGCACTCTCGTCTATAAACATTGAGCCAATGCATGCAAAGTTTAACGCGATTATATACGCATTTCACCGCAGAGCCCTCTCCTGTATAGACGTTGAGCGGCTACATACAACGTTGGAGTGTAGCGTACTGGTTAAGATGTCTGCTTCGTAAGCAAGCAGTCCTAAGTTCGAACCCCCGTGCGGGCGTACGTTTTTTTTTTTTTTTAAATGGGCCGATTCCGGAGGCAGTGCAATCGATGTGAGCATGGACGCCAGACAAGGCTAGACCCTAAGGAGCTTCGCCCCTAAAAATGGCATATGCTTAGTAAAGCACATTAACTGGACACAAAACAAATAGAACTGACAGTTTGTCGAGCAAGTTGAACCACATGTTGTCCGCTTTTGACGCGACCGAGCAGTAAGCTTGCGTCGGGGCCGTCGCCGCCATGGGATCTGTTATTGCTATTATTAGGCAAGCGACTCCCATTTTTAGATGTGCTTATTTGGAGTGAGGTGAATGTTGACGAGGGAACTTGCGCTATGTTTTCCTTACGAGGCTTTCATTTTTCTAGCTTATGCCGAAAAGGTAGGAAAGGTGGCGGCTTTACAATATAAATAAATGACCAGTGCTTCTCCGAAAAAAATTATGTGTCATTCCAACAAGCAGAAGTGTGCGTTGCGACCATTAATAAAATTAATGTTTCGTTTGTGGTGTGCACGGTTTACAGACCACCTAATTCAAATACAGACATATTCTGCGATGAATTAAGCCAATTACTTCACAAGTTCAATAACAATAAATACATAGTTCTTGCTGGAGGTTTCAATACTGATATTTTAAATGAGACAAAGCAAGGAATATCGCACTATTTTGACACCCTCTCGTCGTTTAGCTTAGCAAATGTCATTAACAACTATACACAGGAGGAATACTATACTAATCAAATTATGAAATCATGTATAAATTATATAGTCACGAGAATCGGTAATTTAAAACTATTATCCGGAGTTGTTAATAAAAAGGTAGCTGATTATTACATTACTATACTTTTAATACTAGGAGAGGTTGCTGAAAATTCAGATACAGAAATAATACAAAGTGATACTGGACAACAAAAAAACTACCGCATCTCCACGTGGTGAATGATGTTGATTGGGTCGAAGCTCTGGTGGTGCTTGTCTGCGTAGACGCTGAGCCGCAGCATGCCGAGCCTTTCGTTCGTTTTCATCCATGTCACGCTGCGGTCAAATGCTCAAATGCGTATATAACCACGTTCCATACCACAGATTATTTTTCTGTTATGGATGAAAACGAACGGAACGCTCGGCATGCTGCGGCTCACCGTCTACGCATACAAGCACCACCAGAGCTTCGCCCCAATCAACATGATTCACCACGTGGAGATGCGCTTGTTTTTTTTTTTCCCTACACGAGCACGGGAGCACATGCTCACGTTCTCGAGAGCTCACGAGCAGGAGCACGTGCACCCGACGGCGGACGGACATACGGACATGGCTTTTAGGGGAGCTTGGCCCCTAAAAAATTGATAACTGAATTCAAATGTTTAACTGGAATTCTCTGTTACAGTAGTATCACACTAGAGCTTCTGATAAACTTGTGGAATATTTTCAAAATATTTATCCCAATAGTAGCAGAAGAGTAAAGATGACAAAACAGAGGCCCGAGAATATTGAGATCAACGAAGAAATTTTAGAATTAGGTTATTATAAGGACAAACTTTGGTATATATGTAACCAAAATCCAAGAAACACCCAGCTAAGAAATGAATTTCGGAAAATTCGTAACAAAGTGTAGCGAAAAGGAAACATTATCTAAATCGGTTCATTCAATCAAGAAAAAATTCTAAGGAAACCTTGAACTTAGCAAACAAAGTTAATTGGCAGGAAATCTAAAACTAGTGTGGACGACACAATTCAGAAAAATTTCCAAGGGTCAACTTGTTATGCGGCATTAGCAGAGTCTTTTAACAAATCTTTTATCAACTCCGTAAAAGAGATAAAAAATAAAATTCCATCGGTTAGTCACGTTTTTCCTGTTACTCTACAAGTCAAGTGCTTTAATTCAGCGTATTTGCCTCATATAATAAAAGATGACCTTCTGCGAATTATTAATTCTATGTCAATAACTAAGCCACCAGAGTTTGACAACAATAGGATCTGATCAATATCAGGTATAATTTTGATAAACTGAAGCAGATCTCACAAAAAATTATTAATGGCGTCCTTTGTACCGGAAGTATTCCCAAGAGCCTAAAAGTCTCTATTATATGTCCTACATAGAAAAATGGAAAACATCAGGAATTAGAAAGCTACAGACCAATTGCTACTCTATCTTTTTTAACTCATAATTAGAAAAATGAGGTGCAAATTACAATGACTAGCTTCTGCAATAAACCTTCTTTTATTAAGTAAAACCTAATATGGGTTCCAACAACAAAAAAGTACTATTACACTATTAGAAGATTTTGCAGATTGTGTTAGTGAAGCACTGGACAACAATAAGATTACGTTAGCACCATTTATAGATCTATCGAAGGCTTTTGATACTACTGACCATTCTCTAATACTAGATAAGCTTGACAGATGAGGTTTCAGAGACCCGTTTTTTTTTGTTTTTTTTTCGGGAGTATTTTAAGGATAGGTTACAAATAGTTAAAATAATGAATAATGTAAGCAGTACAGTTCAAATAGAATGTGTGTCCCACGGGAAAACACTTTGGGGGCCCACATTATTTAGTAGTTGCATAAATGATTCTTCGAGTATTTGATACGAGCGTGGGAGACACCCACCCCTGACCGGCGCTCCGTCCATGATCTCGTACTTGGCGATGGTCTCGTTCTCGTTGAAGGTGTTGGGACCCGACCCCGTGGTCTCCCGCTTGATGATGGCGATCTCCATGTGCTTGATCTTGATGCGCACCAGCAGGAAGTAGATCTTGCCCACGATCACGTCCTTTAGGTGGTACCTGGGACCGCACATCACCGTTCGTCGAACACCACAATGTGACAAAAACACTAGGCCTAACTGGCATCCGCCGCAATGCAAGCGCGTGGCTGGAGACGTTCGGCACACGCCACGCAGAGTACCAGAAGTTTCTTAGATTACGAATCGAGCGAAGGCATGCGAGCGTGTAGAGACATACTGTCTGCTTTATTCTAGTTAAATGTATCGAAGCAGAAACATTGTCACCGACCCTGCAACTCTACGGAGGAGAATCGGTCGTTTTGGTTCGACTTTTAAAAGGAGCTTGAAAAGCTCGTTTTAAATAAATTTCTTACGAGTTGTGAATGCGAAAGCATGCAAGCTGCTCGCCCGATCCCTTTGTCGTCTGCTGCGTACTAGCGCGCGCGCGCTTCAGGATCTCGGAGGCAGCGGCCAATGGGAGCCCCGTCGACGCGAGCCAGCCAATGGAACCGGAGGCGAATCGCTCGTATTGGGATCACAGAAACTAGGAGCCGTTTTCGCACTTCAAACTGATGATGTCAGCTCGCTCCATGAGACCAGTTAATGCTTTCGCATTAAAACTGAGCGCCATCTTGTCGCATACGTGGCAGAGTTGGCAACGCATGTGGCTGCCATGCAGAGGAAGCGGGCTGAAACCCTGCTCAGCCCGGTTCTTCTTTTTGTGGAAACTTTTATGAAAAGTTCCAGCTTATTTTCGTTTGTAATCGTGTGTTCTGGTTCGGAACGTTCCCGAAAGTACCGCGCGCACAAAAGCGGCGGCAACGACCTGTTTCGGAACGGTTGCCCTTCCGTCGCCGTGATACCTTCCTCTTTAGTTTGTAGGCACAAGTTTGCATCATTCAAACGTTTATTTTCAGTTCTGAATCCCTTTTTACTCGTAACAATACATTACACCATTTATTCATTTGCACAGACATCGCGAAATATTCTGCCTGTCCGTACATCGCAGCCCGATGGCCAAGGACAAACAAGTTTGTCAAACGACAACCAGAGTTGCCGGTTTCTCTATTGTTTTCGACGGGAGATTACTCGGAGGGGCACACTCACTTGGACTTGTTGTACTCGAACTCGATGTGGAGGCAGTCCTCAATGCCCACCTCCATCTTGATGGAGGAGTTGATCTCAGGGTAGGAGGACAGCGTGTGCACCACCATCTCCATCTCCTTCACCAGGTCGGTTAGCCGACGCACCAGGGTCACCCGTAGGAAGTACCTGCGGGGAGCCGCACCGGGCATCGCTCATTACACTGCCCCCTCCAGGGACGTCACAACAGCTCCCGGGTACTTTATAACTTAAACTGCCATGTTACATAGGCGGAAGTTGCTAGTGTTTGTTTTTAGAGTGCAGCTCTTAGGGGCCCGTTTCCGGCTTGAGCGGCGTCGCCGTCGGCGTAACCGCGCGGTGCATCATGGGAAATGTCCCATAATGCACCGCGCGAGCCCCCCACCGGGTCACGTGACCTCGTGGGGGGCACGTGACCCCCGAAGTCACGTGACCCCCGAGGTCACGTGACCCCCATTGATGTCGCGTGACCCCCCGATGACGTCATCGTAACTGATGACGTCACCGGCATCGTCATCGTCATCATCACTGATGACGTCATCATCCCTGATGACGTCACCGGCATCCACATCGTCATCATCACTGATGACGTCACCGGCATCCACATCGTCATCATCACTGATGACGTCACTGGCATCCACATCGTCATCGTCATCATCACTGATGACGTCACCGGCATCCACATCGTCATCGTCATCATCACTGATGACGTCACCGGCATCCACATCGTCATCGTCATCATCACTGATGATGTCACCAGCATCCGCATCGTCATCATCACTGATGACGTTACCGGCATCCCCATCGTCATCATCACTGATGACGTCATCAGTGACGTCACTGATGTCGTCACCGGCATCCGCATCGTCATCGTCACTGATGACGTCATCAGCGACGTCACTGATGACGTCACCGACATTCGCATCGTCATCGTCATCATCGCTGGTGAAGTCATCAGTGACGTCACTAATGACGTCATCGGTACCCGCATCGTCATCGTCATCGTCACTGATGACGTCATCAGTGATGTCAGTGATGACATCATCGGCATTGGGGGTCACGTGACCCCCAAGGTCACGTGACCCCCCCCTGGTTAGTTTAACCCCCCCCCCCCCCCCCCCCAGTGCCCTTCCCTCCTCCTCCTCAAGAGCTGCGCTTTAATTCGGCGTTACAGGGAGTTGTAAGCGGCTTTCACTTTTTTTCCTCGGAATCAACAACATGCATGAGAACTATAATGCCTGAAACACTCCTTGAAAAGCCACTTATAAGTCTGTGAAAGTATGTAAGTGTCCGTGAAAAACATTTGAAGGCTGTTTTTACCAAAAAAAACTAACTATATGCTTTGCCACCGGATGCTCAGTGTCCGCCCAAAATGTAGCACTAGCGGTCGAGGCCATGTGTCAAAGTTTCAGAGCTTACCGTTATCTGATCAATAAGTTTTAAGTAATTTTCAGAAATTTTCAATTAGGAAATGGGGCCCATTCCTAGACAACAAAGCCATTCATCTCTACATATTTGTGGGCTTTGTCGGCCACCTTTTTCCATTCAAACTTTTCAAAAATTGCTTGTAGCTTTTTAATGCATAGTTTACTTTTGCAGCGAAAAAACAAAGATTGTAAACGTCCTTCACACACACTGCAGACACGGGTTAATGAATGAAACTGTGCGGTGTGAATGCTGCAACAATTGTCATAAAAACAGAAGAAGACAAAGGATTTTCTTTTCCCTTTCATACTCTTAGACTTTGTTGCAGCATTTTGAAAAGCACAGCTCCAACCAGGAAAATTTCTTATGCTCCCCTTGGCAAGTCACGAAGCGCCTTCGCCGACTCACTAACAAAAAAAAACCTGCAACGCAATCACACCTTTTATGTTGTCGCATTATGGGCGTTACCCAAAATGAAAACAGCACTGTAAAGTATTAAAACTCGAAATGTGTGGCTACATCAACTTCACACCATTACTATACTCTATCGTAGATTAAAAAAATGCAGGACATCACCGATTAACGTTAAATATTCTTTGGCTAAGTGCTCGGCATTTTGTGAAGCCCCAATAAAAACGTGGTTGCGAAGCTCAACACCGAGTGGTTGACGGGTGGGAGAGGGGGAGCAAGATGCTCGAAGCTTGCGCGAAGAGGTTGCGCGACCAGAGGGGTTGGCAAAGGGGAGTGAGGTAGGGGAGGAGGATGGAGCTCGACCACCCGTGCTCGCAGAGGGAGAGGCGCTCGAGAGTATGGAAGGCTTTGGAAGATCTCCGGGTTTATCGGCCCGATTAGCGGCAGTATCACTTTATTCTAGAAACTATCGAATGTACACATGGTGCACGCTAAACTATCTGATGAAGAGCACCGTGAACGTAGGTGTCTGGCGTCTGGAAACTCGGGGTATTGCCAAACGTTTGTGATGCTCGAATGTTTCACGTATGCAACACAATTGCCTAGCAATTTGCTAAAATTTTTGTTATTAATTCACTCCTCGGTGCCTCGGATTCAGTCTCGGGAGTTCTTATCGACCAACGTCGGAATCTCAATGGCTAGTGAGCGACCGTGAGATGCATGGGACTCGCCTTTCTTAAGGGGGACTCGCCCGCAATATATTTGTAGCCTTTTCCTCCTAGATGGCGCCGATTTTTTTTTTTTAACAAATGACTTGCTCCCAGTTTTGAACGCAGCTCGGGTGCTCTGGGTCGGCTCGGGCCACGGGCAGTTCGCCGTCGATCTAGGCGAGCTGGAGCTAGATGTTGTTCGCAGGACACGAGCCGGTGATGTGGAAGTGGCTCCGATTACCAACTGACTATAAAGTTAGAACCATGTTCAAATTGTATAAAGTTAGAACCATGTTCAAATTGTTTGAACCTATTTGGGGAACACCACATCTGCCGATTGTGCTGTGAATCGGTTGTGCAAGCTGGCTGTCAGCACACACTGCCACGACTTATGGAGTCACTAATGCAACTGACGCCTCGGTCGCGTGTACCGGCTTCGGTGGCGTTCGACGTCACTCGTTCGTCACGTGGAGCTTGGTGCCAACAAGTTTGAGGCTTAAATTGCTTATCCTCCACAATTTCGTAACCATCACCAATATGACCTTTAGGGAATCAGGCAGAACAAACTAAAAAACTTGCCACCCGCCTCTTCCCCCCGGCGAGGGAGTCGCCAATTTTCGTCGGGTCAAACCCAGACGGCGTTACCCCGGCACTGGGCGCACTGGAAGACAGGATGGAGACTTTGGGCCAGAGTCACGTGAGAGGGAGTCCCAATTTTCCTCTGTCCTGTCTATCCCCAGCTGTGTCAGTTAGTTGTACATCATTCAATTCCCTTAGATAACTTTCACCAGTCTTCCAATCTCCTCTTTGTTATTAAAATGCATTTATTATCCATTCTTTCATTCTTGTCTGCAAACCCCAGTGCTCCGGCTAAATCAATTTGCCCCTTTGGGAGGGCTGGAGCTAGCCCTGGGCACCTCAACACCACATGTTCAAACCCCACTGGATTCCCACAGTTGCCAGACGAAAACGAAAACTTTCCCGAATACCAATTCGTTTGCAGATTTGTTCGCTTCAGCGCAGTTTGGCGCAACTTTTCTGTTTGGGCGCAGCAAGGTGTAGGCAAGCGGGAATTGATCAAAATGTCACAAACGGCACAACTGGACCACCCCTGCAAGTACCGCCCGACAATCACTGTTGCGCGATTGTTCAAGACATGAGCCATGAGCAACTGCTGCACCATGCACCATTTGCTTCAAAGGTCCTCATGGGGCACGACCATTGAGCATTGGCTCATTTGACGCTTCTGGCAAGAAAAAACAAAAGCACATCGAGGGACCTTACTGAGAGTATATACTTTTTCGTTTTGGTCTGTGGGCTCGCGGAGCGCGAGGTCAAGTGGCATGTTCTTATCACTGGATTGGTGGCATAGCTCACAGCATCAACCACGGTCTATTTGAAAATTAAAGTGCCGTATGCAGCGGTGGGGCATAGCAATTTGCACATTGCCACAACATTTTTATGTCATACAGTCTAAGCTCCTTATAACAGACCTGGTTACAACAGACATTTGGGTATAACAAACCGATTTGTGAAGTTTGGTTGGTTTTCCTTTACGTACCATTGACTCAACTTCATATCTGCATACAACATACTGCTTTTACAACAGACCGAAATCTTGGTCAAAATCAAGGTCTGTTATAACGAGCTTAGACTGTACATCTGTTCCCTCTCATTGGTCGCATTTATTGTGCGGCGCAGCAGACATAAATCACGCACAGATTATTGTGTGGATGCAGGGCAATCTCGCCGATGGGCCAAACCAATCTTGGCGGCAAACGTGTGCCACAAGCCGCCATCCATGCGAGCTTGAAAAAAGAAAACAACGAACGCTCTTGCTTGAAGCACACGGTGCTGGTGCCGCCATCTCGTTGAACTTGCTGAAAATAAATCTGTCCTGTCATATTTATTCACACCAATACCGAAATACTAAAATATGCACTCTTCTCGCCATGGTCTTAAAACTAAGGTTGGAGAAGCCTCTGGTACGTACAACCATACATTTTGACAGTTTTGTTTTCGTCTAAGTGATGCAAATCTTTAAATTGCCTGAAAATGTGCTCAAAACAGTCAAAGCAATCATATTTCTGGATTTTATTTAAAATCTTAGGCGCTTTCAGGAGAAAATCCGAGAGCCGTACAACCTTCATTACGTCTTCATAATGACCCTCCGAAAGAATCAACATTCGTGCATTCCTGAAACTCGGGTTTGCGTGGCGAAATTTTCCCCTTCAGTGACGAGCGTGTGAATCTGTTCCAAGCTCTCAGCGACCATAGGTGGGTGAACCTACCTCAGCCTGACATTGGAGCCTGTGTAGGATTCGTAGGGCTTTTCCACATTGACGAACTCGAAGCTGTAGCTGGCGTTTTGGGTCAGCTCTCCGGGACGTGCCAGTTCCTTGACGAGCGATGCAAACTCGTGGTGGTTGCCCCGGTCGTAGTACAGCTCTGCGAGGGAAGGAGCGCCAAAGTCGAGACTCGAGAACACAGCGGAAATCGTATTTTCTTTGATGATAAGAATTAGAATAATACTTTTCTCTCGATGTATGCTTCGTTTATTTATGATTCATTGGGCAGCTGTTTACTGTTAAAGAGACACTGACATCACCCAAAATTTCTTTTTTATCTTCTACCAGGCAATTCATTATGGTGTCAAAACACTACCCGGTCAATATTTTGTTACAGTGTCACATATATTTTTAATAAAGTCAAAAAATGCAACTGCCCGAAACCGGACTTGGGAGGAAGAAGAAATATAGAGGAGGAGAGAGTTGGCGTTAAGTCACGTGGCTGTGCAGCTTTTTTTCTCTCCAATCAACGTATTTCCAGCTTTTTAGAAGCCACAAAACTGGTATCATATTTTTTTTTGTATTCTTAATATTGTGTGTGTGCCTTCGATGACTAACGACTGATTACATTTGGTGGTTGTGTCTAAACCATAGAAAACGGCTCGTAACCACAGAGGAGAGAGTGAGTGCGGCTCAAACCGGCCAGTTCTCGATCGGCAGTTTTCGGATCAAAGAAAACAAGTTTTGAGCCGCGAATTGTTTTCTGGGTAGTTGGACTCCCCATTAAGGGGGGATACTACCCAGAAAAAAATTGTAGGCAAAAAAGGTTGATTTTTGAAAATGCCATATTTACATCCACCAACATCTACAGAGTATTCCCAGAAAGTTGCATTAGTTTACACTAAATAGCTATTTTTCTAGAAATTATTTTTGGACCACAGATGCTAAAGAAAAGGTAGGGGTTGGAGCACTTTGAATGCATTTTTCTCCGTTCCAGTTCTTGGCATAAATTTCACTTTAGGAAAACTATCGTTCGGTAATGGGACAAAAGGAAAGACTTGCCCAGTGTTTTTTCTAACTGGAATTTTATGGAAAATGCAATTGTGAAATTGTTTTTTTTTTTTAATCTATGGAAGTCTTTTATGAGACTAAGATTTTGTCAACGACATAAAAGGCAAACAATTTATTTGATTTAATTGTCACCGTGATGTCAGCATAAAATAAATTACTTTTAAAAAGTTTTGTTTTCACAGTTATACTCACCAGGCATTCTGCTGCAGGTCTCGAGAAGAAAAACGTTGTGTATTACATTAGTTTTCTAACGATAGCTTTCCTAAACAAATTCGTCAGTGTGTTCCTGATAAAAACAACTATAATTTCTTTTAAAATTCAGGTACACAGATGAAACTTTGCACTGCATTCTGCCTCACAACTGCCAGTGTATAATGCACATTTCATTCATATTAAGCCAAACATCCAAAAAGTTGACCCTTTTGGGTTGTTGTACCCCCTTAATGCAAACATTTTATTTGATTATTTTGCTTTTTACATGTATAGAGATCTCCACCCCTGTAATCACCCTCAAGGGCATATGGGTCTCTAAATCCCGGCCCGCGGAAGTCTCCCAACCGGCCCGCGGCGGCTATCTGCAGTCTTTCCCATGAAGCCTGGCTTACGCACCGCTAGCCCCAGCTGCTGCTGGCGGGGTCTCCTGCACTGCTAGCAGCTGACACCCCGCTAGTGGTGCAAAAAGAATTGCTTGTAAAGGAAAGGTGCCGCGACGCACACCAAATGCACAAACTAACATACCAGGAAGATGAGAGAAACTAAATCGTAATGCAAGTCCTCTAGCCATATTATTAACTGAACATGGTCGTCACCAGCACTACCACTCTTAGACCCTTCATGTCTGTGTAACCGCATTAAAATTCCATTGCAATCCCTATACAATGCGCTTTGTGCCCTCTGTCGCAACTATCGCATATTTTCAGCATTAGTTTTGTCATTCTAATTAGTCCTTTGCACTGCGCGAATGTGCCAAATTTTCCACACACTCTAAATAATCACTGGCGAGTTTTCTTGTCTACACATGTTGCCTATTGCCATAATTCAATTAATATTAAACCTCAAATTCAAGCAAATGGATTAATCCACTTAGGGTTTTTTAATACTTAATCTAACATTCATTTGTATATTTAAATGTTTATTTAGGTTTATCCATCTAGTTTTTCTTCATTTATGATCACTCTTTTTTTTTCTCCGGCCCTCGAGACTGCGACAGACCTCTAACTGGCCCATTAGCCAAAAAGTTTGGAGACCCGTAGTTTAGATGGCCCACAAAAGCAAGCGAGTGCTTGTGTGGAGACAATTGCATCCAGTATCATACTCAAAACATTGTCTTATTAAATGGCAACAATAATGCTAATGAACAACAAAGAAAGAGAGAAAATTGTGAATGACATTATGAAAACACAAGAACGCCACTCCTTCATTTTCTGTTTGATGCAATCTTGAGGACTTTGATTGAACAGCGAAGGTTTTTGAACATAAAAGCAGCCATGCTCAGTTAGTTGTGCTAAGCATATCCACTACATTTTGGAGGGAGGCAGAGGATTACTAAGCCCAATAAAACACCCCCACTCCAACTACGCCTCTGGCTGCATGGTATACAACAAAACACGCCCGTGTTTGTCTTCTATCTTGCGTATGTCTTTTTTTAGCGCTTTTAACCATGGTTCAATACAGTCAACACCAACTAGCCCAACAAGTTCTTTTACAGTACAAGTTCCTTTACAGAACAAAACGTGGCCTGGTGTGGCCATACCCAGACTTGTTTGTAAAAAGTGGGTTGGTCTATAAAAAGTGCTCGTTCCCTTTCCTGTGAGCCAAACACACACGAAATATTTTTTTACGTTCGCTCACCTCGCACCGAGCGCAGGGAATATACGCAGCAGCAATTTCACCAATTTCACAAACTGGCAGATCGATCGTGTTTTGAAATTCAGCATGAATGGAAGGTTCTTTTTGCACCGCCACGCAAGCGCATAGCGGCACTCACCTATCTGTCCGATGAACTCAATCTTGATTCCCTGGTGCTCCAGCTTGGAGCCGGGCTTCTTGAGGGTCACATTCACCTTCCCCGAAACCGACTCGCCGTCGTAGAACAGCAGGTGCTTCTCCTTCTTGCCGTCCTCCGTCTTCATCTCCGCCATCTTCCGGTTCTCCGTCCCGCTCAGGATGATGTCGATGTCGGCACTCTGGCCGAGTCCAAAGAACGCCTGCGGCCGAGGAGAGCCGCGACGTCAGCGGGAGGAGGGCCTCCCCCGAAATCCTCGAGGTGACCACTTTGGTTACGATCAATAGCGAAGTAATTGCAAACGCAATGTGTTTCGATCAATGCCATCGTCGGGGCGTAAACGAGAAAAACGTTGGGGCTCGGTTGGTCGTCTCCCCTTTTTAATTAGTGAACAAGGTGGTGTGCCTGGCAGCCACAATTAGCAAAATTAAAACGAAACAGTTGACGCTCTCGAGCTGATCACTTCGGTTATAATTAGGGTTCTGGGTTTTCAGGGTTCATCTCTCTTAAAGACTTGAGGATGTTTTTCGGGGTTTATTTTGTCCCACAGATTCGAGGGTTTTGCAATCCCAATTTTTAGGATCAAACAATAAAAAATATTTTCATTTATCCGGGCTTATTATAAGGAAAAAAGGAAAGAGATGGATGGGGATTTTCAAGCTCTAGGAAACAAGCGCATGACCCGAAACTTGGGAAACGTCACAAAAGCTTGCAGCCTCGCAGTCAGTTCAAAGGGGGATGTGTCCAGGTAAACACAAAATAAAGCTGCAAAAAAGTTTATTTCAATAACTTTTTTTTTTGTAGGACAGTTTTATTTATTAGGTGTTTTTCGGTTTTTGACGGCCGACACCATCAATATAGGAGAAAACCAAATAACACATAATAGTTAAAACTGTCCGACAAAAAAAAAAAAAAAAAAAGAAACCTGCTTGGGGCCAAGTTTTAGGGGTTCACTGGTATTTATCGAAAACACAAAACTCTAGTTATAATAATAATAATCAAAGCACAAATCACAAATGCTATGTGTTTTGAGCAATGCCACTGTCAAAGCGTAAACAAGATAGTGTCACTGGCAACTGCAATTAGTAAAATTTCAGAAATTAAGGTGCTCCGTTGCTTTATTGCCCAAACTTACCAAAGGTAGAATGCGCATTAGCGACAAATGCTCAAATCTGGGCAATGCAATGGCACGACACTACTGTGACGCGATGCTGCCAAGTCTTAGTGCCACGGACGGACGTCATGTCACGTTGCACCACGACAGACTCGACACCTAACAATACTATTGATAAAATAATGTTATTGGTGCCTAGAGGTCAAGTGACATCACGACTTTGCATCGCAAGTCATGCGACACCATGATATGACACGTGATCCGCAAAGGCGTTAGCTAGGTGACCGTATGACCCATTTTGATGTCTCGCTAAGTTTAGGGGCCTGTTACTCCGTTAAATGTATTTATGGCTACGGCTACGAGATGGCTACACTATCGTGCAATTGGTCAACAGATGGGCTCTTGCAGCCCATCTGTTGACTAATTGCACGATGGTGGTGACATCAGAACGGCAAAACGCTTTCAGAAACGCTTTGCCGTTTCATATGGCTAATGTATTTCTATCCTGCCAAGGGCTGTACAGTAAAACGAAGGTTGTAGGGTTCAATGGGTTTGAATAAAACCAATAGTCGTTCTATTGCTTTTCTTTCGAATAAACCTTTTCGGAAGATTTATTTTTCTCTTACGAGTCAAGTAACTGCCAAGTCTGTCTTCAATACTTGTAAATATCTACGGCGTTACTCATCTCCACGGGGTCTCCTTGCTGGCTACGCCTAGCATCGCGACGTAGCACGTTGACAACACCGACGCTTTCACTCGAGCATCCATCCCGGATAACCTCGCGGATCATCTCACGGCTAATCCGAGGGAAGATCCACGGGGCTGACTTCGCCGCTCACCACCACTCGGCTACGTTGTTGTGACGAGGTCGTGTTTATCGATAGCTATCGCGAAGAATTCGAGTCGACTGCGCTCAGGGACGCGCACGGCGCGAACCATCACGCTTACTGAAGTCGGAGATGGTGATAGCAGGCTGAGATATAAATATTAAAGAAAGAAGCTCGGCATTATCAACGAGCGCTAGGTTTCGGCTTCGCAGTTTTTGCGGTGAGTGATCTAGCTCAAAGCGCATGCCACAGTCGGGTAGTGGGCGTCATCGCCGGTCACGCTGGCGATTGCCGGACTGACTGTCTCACGAAATACGTTCAGCGCGGGCCGAACACATTAATTTAGCGCAGGATTTAAGGAACAGTTTGTGGTTTTGGACAATAATGCGCTTTGAAAGCAAAGTGGTCTACGTACCATTTTGATCCGCTCTCAGGCCGCCTGCTTCGAGTGCCTGCCTGGACGCCGCACGCACCCTCTCTCAACGATCCGCTCTCTCAAGATGGTAGACAGAAATATCGCTTGTTATCGCCTTATTCTTCCCTAATCGACGTAATTCGTGCAAATCTGGCGGTTGGGCTGAGCGAATGCGACGGCATAAACGACTCTTCCTCGCCAGCCCACCTCGCAATTTCGCTTGATCTCTTATGTTTGGTTTAGTTTGTGTTTTGGTTGTTCCAGTTTTTCTGCCCACTATTTTTTGCACTTTTCTTACAAAAATAGGTCTCAGTTTGTAAGTAATATAATATTTTATTTTTTTAAAATTAAGTGTAATTATTTATTTTAAATGCATGCGTGTGTTACAGCTTGTTCTTGTTTGTTTGTTGTTGTTGTTTGTTCGTATGCCTACTAGCGCCACGTTTTATTGCAATTGATAACAATACTAATACGTCCAGTCCTAGAGAGCGTCGACTTTCGTTTGCCGGTGTGCGAGTGTTGGACACAGAATGTGAGTTTGTCGCATTGTTTTCCTTCAAATAGTATTGGCATTACCCCGACAATGCGACTTTTGGACATCTTATCATTTTGCCATGGCGTCCGCGCATTTTACAAAGTTGTACTGCCGTTTGCATCTAGGGGACGACGCTCTCGGTTTGCTTACCGGCTTGTCACGTTAGCGTTCTTCATTGTGCGGTCTAGAACACCGCCTTGGCGTAATCGCTAACTGTTGGCGTTATCTGTAACTTCTTCCGAACAGAAACATGATGGATATACGTCCGAACCACACGATCTACATCAACAACCTGAACGAGAAGGTCAAGAAGGATGGTAAGTCCTACCGCGTTTTCCCGGCGTCTATGTTGTCAATGGACCTTGTGCGAGAGTCTGTAAATCGCTGGAAATGAATTACGTCTGCACTTGCGTACCGCGGTCCGCGTTTTCCGGGCGTGTCACCGTGTTGTCAGTAAGCATTGTGCAAGAAGTCTGTAAATGGCTGGACATGAATTACGACTCTACATGCGGGCGCGCTCCTTGCACCTGGTGTTCAGCCAGAGTACTTCGTTTGGAGGCAACTTTGTTTGAAGCGCGTTACACTGTCATCGTCTACTACCAGTAACCTTCTGGGACGGAATAGGACTTCCGAGGGTATATACTCCGTCTCACTGAAGCCGTGCAATACAGCCAAAGCTACAGGGGAGAGAGCGTATGCCAACCTGTTCTAGAGTAGGGAAAGGAGGAATGGGAGACAAGGGCTGGGATTCCCCCGTTCCTCCTTTCCCTCTTTTTGAACAGGCCGGGATACACTCTCTCCCTTGTAGCTTTGACTGTACTGCACGGTTTTAGTGAGACGGAGCATCGAATAACAGTTCTTACATTTATGGCAGTATTACCAGGCACAGTACATGGCTTGCACGTGATGTCATCGCATGATGTGGCTGGTCGGTCAATCCTACTTTGTGAGAAAAACAAATTCAATGGTGTAAAATGGGAGCTGTAGAAGGTTTGTGCTCAGCATCAAGGCTGCCAAAATGGCAGCTGATGTGGCATCAGTGCAAGCCATGTGTAGCTTCTTCACTATATTCTGTTTCACGATAAGTTGGCAAACTGTGGAGACTGCGGCCCCCGCAACCCATTAAGGGCGTCGGAGCAAGGCACGTGACAACACTTCATGGGTGAGGCCATGAAGTCCTCATTACCGCCACGGCAACAGTGTCGTCTGTGACCAAAAAGTAGTTCGAGGCTTTTTCTTTTTTTTTTTTCTAACAGCAATTGAACTCGCGTGATTGCATCTTTATCGACACTGCGCTACATGATGCGGAAGAAAGACGAAGGCATGTTATTTTTCAACGTCACTTAGTTGGGATCAACTCTTCTCCGAGAACAATGTGGCTTTTGAACGATGTTTGAAGGATCGCAGCACTACAATCGACCACTTCCGCTCAAAACATCACCCTGGCATTAGCACCTGGCTCAGATTTGCGGGTAAATTGAGCGTATGGTTCTCTCATGAACTGTCCTTAAAGAGCTCGCTACTCTAGCAGACGGCAATGTTGTGGCAGTGGACGCTCATCCGTAGTTGGTCGATTTCGCAGCAGGCGGCTCTTGGCCACCAGACAACAGCCGGTTCCTCCGGGCCCTCATATGGCGCAGTGACGCAAGCGCTCCTGTGACATGGGTCACGTGCCTTGATCCGACGCTCTTATTGGGTCACGGGGACCGTAACCTCCAAAGTTTGCCAAGTTATCATGAAACGGAGTATACACTCCGTGCGGGAACTATAGGGGACGCTTTGAGAAACGCGCGCAGCGCCGCTAGCGGAGGAGCTGGCGTTCGACTGTGAGGCGCGTTCAGCAGCCTGCGGCGCCTTTTCGCATGCCAAACTGTTGCGGCGGAAGCGCGCGCGGACGAAACTTTTGCTTTTTGAGCCGATAAGTTGAGGGTGACGTTGCATGAGTGCTGGAGCAGAAGGGCATTTAGCTGTTCTCCACTTCTTATATATTGAGTTTGAGTCGTTATTAGGGGTAATTTCTCTAGTTGCGGCGGAGCAATTTTCCGAAAAACAAGACGGCCGCCACCATAATTGCTCTGAGTGGGAAATTTATTTCACTCGTCGCTGTAAACCTAGGACTGCTGGAACCATGATGTTTGGAGGCGAGTGAGATGTTCACTAAGTTTGTGCACGAAGAGTGCCAAGTTTCTTTAAGACAGCAGGTGTGAAAGTTATGTTTCTAACGAATAAAGAAATAAAGCTGTCAGGAATATCCAATATTGGACCCAAAATGTAGTGTTATAGCGGGCTGTGCAAAATGCAGATTTGGGCAGACAGGTGCTTGGACTTGACAGTACCATGACATAGCACTTATTATACAAAAAAAAAAAAAAAAGGTGGCATAGGGAAACCAGGTGAAAATTTGGTTTGGACGGCGTAACTCAATGGGAACCGGTTTTGACCATGAAAAGGCTGTCAAGAGAATACCACTGATTGTGGGAGGTGGAGACTTTACAGGTAGGAAGGGACTGGTGGACTGTGCTTCCAATTGAAACAACTTTACGAAAGGTGGTTCCAAAGCCGAGAAAACAAAGCTGTCGGCCAACACACGGTTTGGCCGCCAAGGGCTTTTGCGGTCAGCTGTTGTGTAATAACCTGTTGTGCGAGGTGCTGATTTTCGGCGCACAGGTACTTTGACATGACCGTCTCTTGGCACAACACTTATTATAACAAAAAGAGTTGGCATAGCGAAACCAGGTGGAAATTTAGTTTGGGCGGCGTAACTAAATGGGAACCAGTTTTGACCGTCAAAGGCTGTCAAGATAAAACCACTCATCGTGGGAGGTGCACACTTTACAGGTAGGAAGGGACCAGCGGACGGTACTTCCAGTTCGAACCACTTTGCGATAGGTGGCTCTAAAGCCGAGAAAAAAATATTGTTGTCTACAGAACTCGGGGTGTCAGCGTTTTCACATCCAAAAGGAGGCTGATCCAGAAAGAAAGCACACCACATAAACTTCCATACTCAAACGTCGATTCTCCAGTGATTCCGAGTTTCATTGTTGTTTTCTTTAGATTTATATTTGTCACTTTTTTTATTGTTCGAATCTTTCTTCATGAAGTACAGATTGCGCGCCATACTTGTCCGGAAATATCAATGACACGTACGATGGGGACAAAACTTCTTTGGAGGGCATTCCTCCAACGAAATTGGCACTTAATACCCGCGAGTGTGGGATGGCATTTTAGTTCGTCCCATCGGCGCTTACACAAGTAGGCGTTACTGGTACAAAAACAAACGCAGAGCTCAAAGCGGCAGTGTAGAATATGTCAGCCGTGATGACACAGTGGCTGACATGATCGGGAGACCAAATTTCTCGCGTCGTACGGCACGACTCCATCGGTGTCGCTGTCCCAGAAAACATCGGCGAGGTGAAAAACTGTGAAACTTTGTCCTCACGAGATACGACGCATAACTATTGAAGCAGTTAATGACGCAGCACAGGCAGCACTTCATGCTGTGAACCCAGCGCAACCGCACCATTCCGACTTCAATGCGTACCAACGTACGCGGCGTGGTTTCGGTTTCGTTTTCTCCGGGGTTCTCACTGCCTACCTTCGCTACCGGCCGCGCGGCGGCGCGCCAGTCGCGTCGCACGGAGTGTATAGAACACCGTACTACGAGCTCCTTGGCTTTTACGAATTGGAAGTGCTGTTTTGTAGGTTTTGTCTCAATCTGAAAAGTATTAAACCACAGGATGGCTCTGACGTTTGAACGGGGTTCAATGGGCAACTGACACTGACGCCTAGTCCGTTGTCATAGCACTCCATTGTGTTCCGAATTTCCACTTTGAGAGCTGTTGGTGAAGAAGGAATGAGCCTGTTGGATAGGGACATTCCCTCAACTGAAATGCTGTAGCTCACTCAGCCACGCTCACACACGGCTTATGCTTCCAAGCCTGCGGCTTCTGAAAATGGTGTATTCCTTTTGAAATCATAGATGTAACAACAGCCCTCTTGCTTTGGTCAGCTGCACTTATCCCATGAAAATGTATTACTGGCCTCAAAGCATTTCCCATCAGATTGTTCTGCTGTTTTATCTCCGCTGATTTTCAATAACGGCACTACGTTCTGTGCTTGTTCCTCGAAGAGATTAACATATTTCAGGGCCATCAGATGCCTGCCATGTGGGGACTGGACATCTTGGCACTATATCTGCATTGTGTGGAAAAGACAGAGCATGAACGGTAGTACTTGTAAACCTAATGAAGAGATTGTTGTCCAATGCTTTAAAAAACGGTAGAGCTACGTACACTGCGAAGGTTGGGCAGTATAGGCCAACGTGCTGTTTACAAAACAGTCCACGTTTGCCCACTTCAGGCTGAGGGATATCCCTTGCTGCTACTTGTCTCGGAGAATGACACGACACACTGGTTGGACAACACATGGTCACTTATTGACTGTCAAAGACTCCAAAAAGTCTTTGCACACACGCTGCGACGGCTTTTTAACGGCGGCAGAGCGCCGCTCACGTGGCCAACTGCACTTGACCCTCTTGAGGTGGAAGTGACCACAGGTAATTTGGCATGTGGGCAACCCGGTCCAAAAGTTTGGATTCCGGTGCCAGTGCAATGCCGACTGGATTTAAAACAGAGGAAAATTGGCGACTCCCTCGCCGGGGTAAAGAGACGGGGGGGTGATGTTTTTATTTTTTTTGTTTGCCTGATCCCACAAAGGTCATCCTTGTGATAGTTACGAAATTGCAGAGGGAAAGCGAATTGACGAAAAAAGGAAACCATACTTTTGATTTTTAATTTCTAGGCTAGGCGGTGCAAGTTACCGCCTGTTATAAAGGGTACAGCTGTTAGCATCCATCCGTCCATCCTTCCCCAGGTTGTCCACAAGGTGTGGGCATTGCACATGCAGAGAAACCAGCATTTGCACATGCACTGCACCGACAGCACTATTGCTATCGCTGTGGCATGACATCAGCACTGCGCGTTGGTGTATGATTTTAAAGATGCCAACAGCCTAGCGATTGTGGGTAGGGAACAGTGCTATCAAATCACCAATCAAACATCTTGTGTTATTTAATGTATA